TTCAATTTTTGTACCTTCCGATAAATCTCTCGTAAACCATCGAGTTTTCTATTTTTTTCACTATTCCAAACTCGATACTCTATTTTATACTTTAACAAAAGAAATTTCTTTTCTTTTATTAATATTATATTATTATTTTTATTTCATTCTTATTTTCTTCTTCTTTTCCAAATAATCATTCTATATAATTTTCATAATTTTTTTATTTAATATAAAATTATTATTTATTCTAAATATTTAATTAACATAAATTGCAAGCAAATATTATATAATATACAAATTAATGGACAATTCAAATAAAAGTAAAATCATTAATGAAATACAATTACATAAACATTATATAAATACTCAACTTTCAAGATTATGCATTACTCCTATAAATGCTCTATTAGTGCATTACGGAGTTAAAAATGAACAGTTTAGTCCTTAATTTTTCTATCTCTAGCTAAATATTGTTCAAACCGGAGATTTTCAAATTATATTAGTGACGAAAATAAAAAAATTTATTAATTCCGGATGAACATAGTATATATTAAATAATATATTTTTTATAAATATTATATTATATTTAAAAAGAGTTGCAAATATTAGGTATTTACGTAGTGGCATTATATGTAAAATAATATGTTAATTACAAAATAATAGAAAGGCATAATACATAAACATGACCCTTAACTTGGCTTCAACGGATAACTATGTCCTCCAATTCTGAGTGTGCACAAGTAGGCACTTAAACTTGATTAAAATTGAACAAGTAGACACGCATGTCCTACATAGCATAATAAACGTAGGACGCCATGTCGGACACAAAATTGCCATGTAAGGTGTCATGTAGGACTAATGTGTCTATTTGTTCAATTTTATATAAGTTTAAGTGCCTAAGTGTGCACACCCAAAGCTAAAGGTTATGGTTGCCAACTGACGTCAACTTAAATGTCATGTTTATGTATTATGCCTAATAGAAAAAGAAAAAAAAAGTAAAATAGAGAGTGTGAATAGTAGTTCTCCAAATTTGGAGTACTACTATTCACCTCTCTAAAAATGAAGAATAGAGACTAAAATAAAGAGGGGTTGGACTATCATTCTCTATTTTACACTTCAAATATAGAGAATTGAGAGTAAAATAGAGGTGAATTGGAGATGATCTAAATGGTTGAGCACATTTATTAACAATTGATAGGTTGAAGGTTCGATATAGGGTGATTATTTGGGGAAAAAATGATGTATATTATGAAATATGGAAATAAAAATGAAACATAAATCATAATATTACTTTACTATATAAGAAGAGTGAATAAAATTCACTCTTCTTTCGACACGTGGCACCATGGCCCACCTACTTTTATTTTATTTAAATCATATATCATATATATTACTATATATAATATAATAGTAATATATATATATTACTATATAAGAAGAGTGAATAAAGCACCATGGCCCACCTACTTTTATTTTATTTAAATCATATATCATATATATTACTATATATAATATAATAGTAATATATATATATATATATATAAATATAAGAAGAGTGAATAAAATTCACTCTTCTTTCGACACGTGGCACCAAGATGGCCCACCTACTTTTACATTTGGTTTTTGAAGATGGCCCACCTATCACAAATATGACCCACCTACTTTTATACACTCCTCTTTCATTATATTTTAATTTTTTCCTTTTTAAATAGTACTTAAAAATAAATTTAAAATATCACAAATTCGATTAACTCTCAAAATTTTACGCGAATTCTATAATTAAGACGAAGGGAATAACATATATTATTTGAAAAATTACTATATAATTACTACTCTTCTTATATAGTAATATTTTAATTTTTTCCTTTTTAAATAGTACTAAAAAATAAATTTAAAATATTACAAATTCGATTAACTCTCAAAATTTTACGCGAATTGTATAATTAAGACGAAGGGAATAACATATATTATTTGCAAAATTACATTAAGAATACCATAAACCACAATAGTTAACAACTTACAATATTTGAAAAACATATTAACTCTCAAAACTTCACATGTGTCACATAAATTGGGACAAATGGAGTAACATATATTATTTGAAATTACGTTAAGAATATTATTAATCACAACTTAAAGTATTTAAAAATACATAACATATATTATTTGAAAATAATGTAAAAAATATTATAAATCATAATAATTAACAATTTAACGGATATTGTGCCCGTGCTTCCATTTAGAAGTGAGAATGTTTAGGAGCTTAGGGTTAGTCAGTCAATTGACCGATTTGCCCTTCTTCTTCAACTTCCTCTATTTACTACAAAAATAGTACTAAAAATCAATTTAAAATATTGAAATTTTGGTTAATTCTTGAAATTTCACATGTATTGCATAATATAATAGAGTGAGTAACATATATTATTTGAAAATTATATAAATAGTACTAAAATATAGTTTAAAATAGTACTAAGAATTTGATTAACTCTCGAAATTTCATATGTACTGCGTAATTGAGATTGAGTGAGAAATATATATTATTTGAAAAATAAAATAAATATGTGATATTATTAGAAAGAGCTTTAATATATATTTTAAAAATTATTTTGTCTTCCGTATATGATTTTCTGCATATATGTGGAGTTTTAAAGTTTTTAACATTTTAATATAGAAATATGATTATTTGAAATTTTTTGTACTTTCTTCATTTAAATTTTTCCTTGTTTTTCTTTTAATTTGTTCTAGATTTAAAAATTACATAAAAAGTACTTAAAATCACAATGTAATAATATAAGATATTAAAAAAACATAATTAAAAATCATAAAAGAAATTTTATTGATTCTTTAATTCCATATTGAAACAAAAGAAGTTTGTTTGAAAATAACATAAAAAGTAACGTAAATTAAAGTAAAATAACAACTAAAAATATTTAAGAATCATATAAGAAATTTAGTTGAGTTTCGTAAAAGTACCTACGTCACATAAAATGGAACAGAAAGAGTAATATATATTATTTGAAAATGATATAAGAAGTGCTATAAATCACAATAAATTAACAACTTCAAAATATATTGAACAAAATCACATACAAAAAATTATATAACTCTCCAAATTTCATCGGTGTCACATAAATTGAAACAAAGAACTACTCCCAATTTATGTTATTTACTTTCCTTTTTAGTCAGTCCCAAAAGAATGTCACATTTCTATATTAAGTAATAATTTGATTATAAAATATTTATTTTACCCTTAATGAAATAATTTACAGTCATACAAATTTATATCATTCATTTTGGACCACAAATTTTAAAAGTCTTCATTTCTTTTTTAAACTCCGTGGCGAATCAAACTACCTCACATAAAATGAGACGGAGGAAGTAATATACATTGGGCCCGCGCTGGCGCGGGAACCTAATAACTAGTAATATTGAGAAGAGAAAAAAAGATTTTTTTAAAGAAGTAAATTAGAGAAATAAATTGGAATTGATTGTGAAAAAAATAAGGGAAAATTGTATGAAATAACAAGCTATTAATTCAAATTAAATGTTATAGTCATAGTTTATTTTATTTGTAATTCGCAGCAAACATCCCATTTTTTTGACATCTGATTCGGTATACAATTAGCCATTTTCGGTATACAATTAGCCATTTTATACATTTCGGTATAAAATGTATAAAATGTGTTTGTGTTTGTATAAAACGAGAGAATAGTGTATATACAAATACAAATACATATATTTTCGTCCTATACACTTATAACTATACAAATACATATTTTATTATACAAATGCAATGTATAAATGAATTTATACAAAACTGACAATTTGTATAAAATTGGATGTATCTAGCGAATTATACAAATCAAAAACTCCATAACAAACATAAAATTTGTTATGGAGCGCAATTATGCAAACTATAGTTATAACAAACAAATATAAATTTATGTTTGCTATGTGAAAGTTTTCCAAAAAATAATAATAAAGAACTCTCTCTCTATATATATAGAAATAGAGGGTAAGATTGGAGACGTATTATAGAGACTCAATTCTCTATTTTACTCTCCAAATATAGAGAGTGGAGAGTAAAATAGAGAGATGTTAGATATGGTCTAATGCTTATTTAATGATGTGAGAGGTACGCTAAAATGAGATGTGATAGCATTAAGGAGGTCTCATAGGCCTCATTTGTTTGCACTTAACAGAGGTATGAATCTTAATCATTTAGATTCATCCCATTAAGTGTGTTTAGATTTTAAGATTCAAATCTTAATCATTCAGATTCCATCCATTAAATCCATTTGTTTCTTTTCAAAAGAAGCCTCTTAATGGATCTGGAAAGATCTTAATGAATCATATCACCAGGAGAGTCTTAATATATATCATTCAGACTTATTTAATATGCTTTAAAATAATTAGTCGTCGCTTTTCTTTCTCTTAGCACAACTTTGTTCTCTCCCTCTCTTTTCTTAATCAAACATCAATTTTTTCCTCTTTGAACAAGTAAGTTTTCATAATTTTACAATATTTTTTTGGGGAGTATATTGATGTTTACCTCTGCTCTTTCAAGATTTGTGTACAAAACTTTTTGAAGGTTCTACTGCAACAAGAGTTCATGGTTCCTCCTCCTCCTCCTCCTCCTCCTCCTCCTCCTCCTCCTCCTCCTCTCACATTGGTTTGTTCTAGTTATCCGAGTAATTTGAGGGTATAGGTTGCCGCCAAGAACATGTATAGCTATGAAAATTCCCAAAGTATTTGGATAGAGTTATGAGATAATTAAACTAAACCAATTCACATGTTTCGCTTATCACGTAACAGAGTTAGGAAGCTATTTATATTTTGTGTTCGTCATCTTCTCTTCAACTTGGAAAAACAAATTCCAAATCAGAGGCAATAGACATTAGGGCATAAGGATAATCCGGCGATTCCAAATACATTTACTTAGTCATTTGCTCAGGAACACCAGTTTCTCTCAGTGTTACAAGCAGATCATCAATCAATCATCTACAATCCCTGGGATGTGGGTGGGAAAAGGACATTTCAGAGACTTAATAGGCAGTGATTTGGTAACAGAGCTTGCTACAAAAGAGCTAGCTAAAAATTCTTGTTCAACACATACACTAAAAGTGAAAAGTTTAGCAATGCCCAAAACTGGACTATAGAAGTTATTCTGCATTCCATGGTGGATCAAGGAAAAATCAAAGCAGACATCATTTGCTTTGGTTTTTCAGTGTGTGTCAGTCATACTCTCTTCAGAAACATATTGATGTCAAGCTGCAGTTGAGACATGGCTAATATTACACCATTCACATGATCGATGAGATAGGAGGCATCAAAGGAACGACATGCAACTACCATCAATTTTGAGGCTTTGAAGGAGAAGGGGACGATGGGGGCTTCAAATTTGGATACTGCAAGATAGATAAACAAATAGAGTCAATATTTCACGAGCCTAAAGTTGTTCCCGGCAAAAAGCATTTTGATGGTTCTGAGCAAAGAGGACAGATAAAAAGAAGCTATGCAGAACCATTCTTAGCATTAGCACATGACCTAAACTGACTGACAGTAACAAAACAAAGAAGGAAAGGAGACACAAGAATTAAGTGTTCCACTTTGGTTAGTTTGGCACTGTCAAACTGCTGCCTACCGTGGAATGCACGGTGGTCAGGTGATAATTTTCGAGAAAGAGTTTAGATCAATTGGGATTTGTGCCAGACTTCCAAAAAGAGAACCACAGACTAAAGCATAAAATGACTCCATCACAGTGCGCCTATGAGACAGCAAACTTGGATACTGAAGAAGCAAGTGGCACGTAGATATATTCAAGAATCGTCCCAAACACCCTTCCACTACTCCTAAGGTGTGTTAAGGAATAAAGATAGTCATTTAATAGCTTTGCAATCTCACGCCCTTCCACTACTCCTGTGGTGTGTAGTAAGGAGTAAAGATAATCATTTAATAGCTTTGCAATCTCACACCCTTCCACTACTCCTGTGGTGTAGTAAGGAATAAAGATAGTCATTTAATAGCTTTGCAATCTCAGACACTTGCTCATGGTCATGGTCGTGTAATCAAGGTGGGACAGTGTTCACTTATATGTGTGCAAGAGATGGAGATAGAGAGAGAGATCATACATTTGGATATGGGGATGATGACCTAGGACCACATTTTATTGCTGAGAGTGAGTCAGCAGAGTGCTTAACGGGACCATTGCTTATCTGCTCAACTTGGGTCACACCTATAGCAGATGGAGATTGACTATTACTTTCATTTGCTTGAATCACCCCATTATTGCTGCCTTGTGGTTGCAACCCTTTATCCTTCTTCTTGGGATAAATATGAACAGATGGAGGGAGAAGGGTTTCTTGGATCTCCTGCAAAGTAAAAATAAGCATTTTAACTGACCAAGATGAAATTATCTGTGCAGAGTTTCTGATAACTAAAAACATTGTGCTTCTGATTTCATTCCAAGACCAGCAACATAAAGAAAGTACCCAAGGAAACACTTATTAGATTGTCAATTAGGCCAGGTCGATGCAGTAATCACGACCCCAAAACTATCTGAGTCTCTTATCATTTGAGAAACGACAGAATTATTCGCAAGAATACATATAGGCAGATCATTTGCAAGCTAAGTTACAGAAAATGATACAGTTGAACATGAATGAAGAGATAAATCATCCCAACTCAAACTACTTGGAAGAAAGGAAGAAATACCTGCCATCCTTTCTTGCCTCTTATCCCACCTCGGATAGCATAAGCCTCTTTGAGACCATTTTTCACCAATAGTTCAGCCACTTTAATCGAGTTCCCATCAAAACTACCTTCCACATCAAAGAAAGATATCTGTCAAACTCTTTGAACTACTCAAATTGCCAAGTGTTACTTGTCACTATCTGCTATTACAGCAGCTACCTTTAGAAGAATCCACTGTTTGTCAGAGCAGAGGCCATAAAGGCAATTCTCAGTAAGTGAGAGACATTCAACAAATACATGCTCATTAAGGGGGAAACGACACTATTCTCTCTTCTTCTTTGCAGTAGCTATCTGATTGTACAACACAGCTATAAAGCTACTTAGGCTGCCATCTTGGTAAGCAAAAAGCCTCATTACCCCCCTAAGGAAATCATCAGATAGAAGGTGAGGCAACTTAAAAAGGAAAAAATTTAGGTGGAAAGGGCATCTACACCTGCCATTACTTGGACAACCAGGAAGCATCCCAATCGCAGCTTCACCCACCCCTCCTGCATCTACATATTACTTGACTGTGTTGACAGCCTCATGGCATGCAGAGGGGATAGGCGCAAACATCCTTCTCAACCTAGTAATATAGCCGGATTGCTACAGTCATAAACAGACATAAGGAGAGACATTGGAGCAAATCCAAATCTATACATGACTTGCTCGACTAACCATAAAGGTAATGATAAGTTGACACTATAGAATATATTACTTAACAATAACAATTCGCTTTTTTTAGAACATTTTATAACAATGGCATTCAAGACAATTAGCAGGCACCTCGTGCCTGCAAAAATAACACTTGCCACTTGCACACAAAAGAGAGTTATTTGATAATGTTGAGAAGGATCACAAGAGAACTTTGCAAGATTATTTGGCAAATATAACAATAAGGGTGGACTCACAACTACTCTTCCCGGTCTCTCTACATGTGTGTACTCTATAAATGACTCAAAATAAACAAGAGAGACACAGTCACACACATTATGCACCAGAGATAGACCCCCCCCCCCCCCCCCCCCCCCTCCCAAAACACAACACATATAATTATGGAACGAAAGATGTTTGATTCCAAACAGGAAGAATCTAATTATAAGTAAATAGAGAATATTATTAATAATTTTTATATCTTTCACTATGAGCCAAAAATTAAATCAAATGGATATTGCACAAAAGCTTGCCACATCTGTACTATGCCAAAGCAGCTAATATATATGTAGGGAGAACATGGACAGTAAAAAGCTGCATAAGAAAAGGTCAACCATTTTGCCACTGGAAAAATTATATCATCAGTCAAATGCTTCACTGTGAACTCATTATAGGTGGAGAAGTACACAATGAATGGAATGGTTCGAAAATTGCTATAGAAGACCAACAAGTCTTAGTGAAGCTAGTCCATTAATTAGATAGTTCAACTGTGCTATCTGTAATAAGAAAAAACCTGGAGTGGAGGACTCAAAGTTAGAAACAGGCTGCTTAGTTTGGCCCCTTTACTTTGTGTATATTTATTGGTATAGTGTACAACATATGATGCCAAATGTGCAACTAAAGAATCAAAATACATACTACTCTCTTATCATAATAATCCGTGAACTAGTTATGTTTACATGTATGATAATTACATGAAGTCTGAGAAGACCATTTTGAGCTGACCATATCAGAAGCAAAAAACCAACAACAAGATATAGTGAAGAATGAATGCAAGATTGTCACATACACTTACTTGTCTATAACACAAAGCGTAGTATTTTGTGGGTCGTTGAATTTCTGAAAGACACTCTTGACAAAGGCATCTTCATCTCCTTGGCGGAACTCAACCTGCATCTCACTCTTATTAAACATTCTCAAACTGGGAGAAGGCAAATAAGCTAAGCTCTTGTTATCACGAATATCTAAAAGTTGGGAAGTGGGGTCATCACGAAGCTTTGCAAATGCATCAACGGCAGAGATGAACTTATACTTTTGCAAGTACTCTTCTGCTAATGGTATAACAACAAGCCAGATAAAGGAAACCCCAGCAACAAAGAATGGATACTTGGTGAAAAAATCATCAATAGAGACCAATATTGCTTCTAAGTTGAGTTTAGTTGAAGTGGGTATTGTAGTTTCAGAGGAGGCAAAGGAAGTAAGAGGAAAAGAAAGAGTCATAGAAAGAAAAGATAAGTAGAATTTGTGAGAGATAAGATGAATTGGGGTTTCAGTTTGTAAAACGGGAGAGAGATTTCTGGTTTTAGGGGAATTCAATTGGATTGAATTGCAGAGGAGGGTGGGAGAACATCTGAATTTGGGTGAGGATGTGAGGGATTGTGGGTGTTTTTTGACAAGTAAACAAGTTGAAATGCCTATAGAAAGAGACTCCATCATCAGATAAAGAAGCAAAAGATGTTTGAGATTTCCCAAGGAAGAGAGACGATAAGATGTGCCGCCATTTATAACGCCAAATTTATTTGTTCTGTCTATTTTAACATACACCTAATTTGACAGCATATAAAATATTTTTAAATTTTGTGATTTTAAATTAAATATATGTCAAATATATCAAAATGTTTTTAAATTTTATGATTTTAAATAGGTCATACGAAAATTTGAAATGAATAATTAATTAAAAAAATTATTTTTTTCTAGACAGACTAAAATAATTAAATAAATTAAAACCGAATACAAGAAACTATTAAAGTCCTAAATAGTAAAGATGACTAACTATGTATATCATCATATGACTGAAATATAGAAAACTAATAGCAGTCTCCTAAATAAAAGGATAATATTATCTGTTAATAACCCCCCCCCCCCCCCTCCCCGCCCCCGGAAGTTGGGGGTGACTGGATAAGACCCAACTTGTGAAAAGGGCGCTGAAAAGTTGTACGGGAAAGAGGCTTGGTGCGGACATGAATTACTTGATAAGCTGAGGGAATGTGACAAACCTCAAGTGCCTTCTGCTGAACTTGCTCACGAACAAAATGAATGTCAATGACTATATGCTTCATCATATTGTGAAAAACAAGATTCGCACAAATGTAGGTGGTGCTAGCCTTGTCACAGAAAACAGTTGGTGAAGCAGGCAGCGATAGATGTAAAAAGCAAAAAAATTGTATATCTAAAAAGTCAAGTTATGATATCAAGAGTCGTGAATCTAAAAACCGATTCTCACACTTAATTCCCTCTATACCAAAAATATCCATCATGGGAGAAACCATTGGCGTTAGTAGATCCAAAAGCTCTGAACCTTCCAAGATGGTTGAAGGCAACCATCCCTATTTTCTCACTCCTTTAGATTCACCTAGAATGAATCTCAAAAGCATCAACTTCAATGGAGCCAATTATGAAAATTAGAAGAGGGGTACTAATCTCTCTTTCTGTTAAAAATAAATTGGAATTTATTAATGGAACATGTAAGAGGCCTGAAGAAGACACGCCTTTGTTTGATCAATGGCGGAGGTGTAAGGACATGGTGTTGGCATGGCTTATAAACTCCCTTAGTAAAGAAATAGCGGCATATGTGATCTATTCTCAAACAACAGAGGACTTTTGAAATGAACTTGAACAAATGTATGGACAAACAGATGGTACCAAGATGTTCCAATTATAGAGAGAGTTGAACAACATATCTCAAGAAACCAATGATGTTGCTAGGACATCAACAGATTGAAGAAAATTTGGGACCAAACAACGGTACTTAATACTTTTATGATATGCATTGTGATTGTAATTGTGGTGCAAAAACGCACAATGTAAAGAAAAACAAAGATCAAAAGTTGATCCAGTTACTTATAGAACTGAATGAAAACTATTGTGGCCTAAGGGGAAACATACTCATGATGAAGTTGTTCCTACTACAACACATACATACTCAATTATATTACACGAGGAGACTCAGAGGGGAGTAAATTCTGCAAATCAGGTTAACATTAATGTTGAATCTATTTCTTTTATGCCAACCAACAAAGATGGACTAGAAACAAAGGAAACAATCAAAATTTTAGCTACGCTAACACATATATTAAGGAACACCATTTTTTGCTCTTATTCTAAGAAGTCGGGACACACAAAGGAGAAGTGTTATAAACTAGTTGGATATCCACGATCCTTCAAGTTTACTAAGCCAAAAAGAGTATGGGAGTGGGCAAGAGTGTAATAAACTAGTTGGATATCCACAATCCTTCAAGTTTACTAAGACAAAGAGAGTCTATCGAAGTGGGCAAGCAAATGCAGGTATAATAGAAGAAGGAAATATCACACAGACTGCTGGTGATAATGAACCTAGAGGTCTAGGTCTAGAGGGATTCACGAAGACCAATGTATAAAAATGATCCATATGCTATTATGCAGGTGGGAAATTTAGGTCCTAAGGCGAATCCTAGTGCCAACTCTGTGGGTAAATGCTCAATCTCTAATGTCTTTGACTGTTGTTTTACTACTATTGGTACCAACCTCTGGATAATAGACTTAGGGGATTCTCAACACATGACTCATGAAAAAAATCTCCTATATAACATTAAACGCTTAGAAAATTTAGTCTTAATAAAGCTACCAAATTCATATAAAGTCACATTTTTCTTTGTTGGTTCGATAACTTTTAATTCTGATAATGAACAACAAAATGTGCTCTAATAACTGATGAGTCCACGATTTGGACTCATTTAGGGATTTATTTTAATAGATTTAGTGTCCTCAAATGCATATTTTGTGCCAATAACTGATATAAATCCTTGAATTTCAGGTATTTGGATTGAGGCACAAATCATGGACACTAATAAGCAAAAAGGAACAAGGCAGCTAAAAGAACGAAGAAAAGAAGGCCTGAGGATCACCCAAACCATTGGGCGAGTCGTTGAATGGCCTTGACCTCGCCTAATGTTCCAATGTGCCAAGCCCTGAAGGAGAAAATCAAGTCGGCGATAGAAGAGAGCAGTCGACGAGTCGCCGAACAGGTCCGTGATGCAGTACTTCATCTCCCAAAGTTACAGAACTTGAATTTGCTGAAGGCCAATGCAGAAAGGTGATGAACCAGACCAACGGGCGGATCACCGAGTGGATCGGCGATCCCGACTAACTGTGCCGATTGGACCTTCGCAGCACACTTTTTGACAACTACAAATACTTGTTTGAATTTTTAGTTTATTAAGCAACCAGTTTATGAAATTTTAGAATATCAAGATTTAGAACTTAGAACTGTTTTTGGAGACATTTTCCCTTAGCTTTGAAGAGTTGAAGATTTCCATTTCTAAGTAATTGGAAGTGAGTGTTGAAGATTCTTCATCTTAGACATTTGTAAAGACAATATCGATCATACCCAATTGATGGAAACACATTTCGGTATCGATTTCTATTTTTTCACTATGTCTAGCTAAAACCCTAATTTTTGGGGTGTGATTATATGATTATGGGTTGATTTAACTGCTGGGTATTGTTACTTAATAGTTTATTTTCTGTTTAAGGTGGTTTCGATCAGTAATTATGGTTGAATTTAATGGGGTTGTAGTTGCAAATACAATCTTAACTTCGTGTTTTTGGCTTGCTCGAGAGAGAGGTTTTAAAACCAAAATTACTGATTCAATGGTATGTGGGTATTGGGTTGTCGTGGGTTCAACTTGAGAGAGTGAATCCTAACCCTTTTTCCACACATTCAACTCGAGAGAGTGAATGGACTAAAGCGAAGGCGGTGCTTCATTGCCGCTTATTGGTGTTTGAGAGAAACCAATTTGATTCGGGGTAAATTGTCGAGAGAAAGTTTGCCCCTACTAAAGTCTAGCTTATTCACCGATTTGCATCGGTTTACTATTAATTGCAATTACCCGATTGTTTATCTTAGCCCATAATCCTATCACATCCCAAGAATCCCGTCTGCATATTCGTATTTTCATATTATTTGTTGTTTTTAGTTGCTAGTTGACTACAAACCTTTTTGATATTTGACACTTGTGTCAACCTTTAATTTATCATGTTTTTCTTCGTATATGTCTTTAGCTATAATTGACTTGAGCGAAGTTCTTGCTTTTCTCTTGATTCTCGATTACAAACCGCTCCCTTGGGACTTGACCCCAACTCACTAGTTGGGTTATATTACTATTGAACGACCGTGGATGCTTAGTATTGGATGAAGCGTCCAGATACGTCAACCAATAACATGTAAAAATAAAAAAAGAAATTTGTATATTTTTCTGGAATATCGATTGTGCTATACAATATGATCTATTTATAAACCAACAATTGCTTAAGATTTTGTAGACTCCTAATGATTTTCAGAGACTAGCCTCCTAATAATCACATACAAGGATAAAATCTAGTGCAACGTAAATACAATTCCTATACATATACTAGTATAAATAAAATACAACTCAATATTTGAAGTTGGGCCGCTTATTGAATCAAAGTGAAGCAGCCCGAATTCAATTTGTTCCTCAAACAAAATAACACCCAGCGACTCTTAATCTGAAATAATGTTTTCTTCCTTCAACACTCTTAAGTGTTCTGTCGTTTTCTTTCGAGATGAGCTCAAGTTGATTGTACTATCAACAATAGGTGAAGCTCCCGGAGGAAATTTGTTAGCCAATTGACATCAGAAACAACAACAACAACTTGGTACTTGGCTTTCGTAAATGAGCGGGAGACATACTTTTTGGTTTTGGAAGACCAAGAGATTGGTGAGTTCCTAAGGGAGATAGTACATAACCTGTTGTTGATGTTCTATCTTGTCGATTTCTAGCCCAATCAGAGCAGAATAAGCAAGTAAACAGCCTGTTGGTTCGTGATTGAGCTAAACTACCATGTACTTATGTATTTCAAGTAGCGTAGCAAACGTTTGATAGCTTTTCAGTGAGACACGTCACTATTATGCATAAATTGAGATAGCTTGTTCACAACAAATCTGATATCAAGCCTAGTGAAGGATATGTAGTGAAGCTTACCAATGACTCTTCTACAAAGGAAAATGTCAGCTACGTAATCAATTTCTGAATCATCGAAGGTTGATGTCATTGGTGTTGGAAGACCCTAGCAATAATTCATATGCAATTTATCTAAAAGATTCATGAAATATTTTTGTTGAGACAAAAAGATGGCAGTTGGCGTGGATATCACCTAAATACCTAAAGAATAATGGAAGAGGCCAAGATTTTTGAGAGAGCATCGTAGGGAAAGTGGTGTAATTATAGACTTGACACTTTCCTAAAACTGCTCGTAATAATTATATCATCAACATATATGAGAATGTATACATAATAACAAAATTATGAAAGATAAATAAAAATGAGTCAGATTTTGATTTAACAAACCCAATACCTGTCAAGTTGGTGTTGAGCTCGGTGTACCAGGCCCTAGGAGCCTGCTTAAGTCCGCATATGTCCTTTTGAGCTTGCAAATGTATGTTGAATGTTGAGAGGACTCAAAAATAGGAGGTTGCCTCATATACACATCTTTTTCAAGATTTTCTTGCAAAAAGGCATTATTGACATCTAACAAATGAATAGGCCAGGAGTGTTGAGCAGCAATTGCAAAGACTAAACGAATTGTTGCAAGCTTGACAATAGGGTTGAATGTGGAATGATAGTGTAACCTAGGTCTTTGTGTGAAGCCTTTGACTACTAGGGGAGCTTTATACCTATGAATGCTTCCACCAGATTTATGCTTAATTCTAAACAACCATTTACAATCCACAATATTCCTAGAGGGATCAATAAGGACCAAATCCCATGTCTGGTTTCTGATTAAAGCATAATATTCTGCTTTCATTGCTTCTTGCCATTGGGGATAGAGTTGTGCTTGACGGAAGGAGCGTGGAATTGGTGGAGAGGGATTGATTTTGACAAGAAAGCTCTTGGGTTTGAGGCTATTTATTTTTTAACGGGTAACCATTGGGTGAGAAAGGGTGTTTGGTTATGATAGCGGCGGGAGTTAAGAGGCTTGGACATATGTGGTAACTGTAGAGGTCCGACGTCAATAGATTTCGGTGATGGGTGACTTACTAGTTTTTACTGGAGAAAGAGGACTAGGAGTGGATTGAGTGGGGTAGGTAGAAGCAAAGGTGCTTGTTGGATTTTTGAGAGAAGGTGGAGATGTACTTGAGCTTGGCGACACCGCTGAGGAAGGAACAAAGAGATATTTGAGCACCCATAGATAATGGCTGAGGTAGTTCAATACAATGTGGAGCTACTGGGATATCATTGTGCATTTCTATTGACGAATATGAGTCATCCCAAGAAATTTTCAAATGTTGAGTTTTATAATTAGAAAAAATATTGGTAAAAGGGTTACTAGTTTAAAAAAAAAATACTACATCTCTAGAAAGATAAACTTTGGAGGTGATTGGGTCAAAACAATGATGGAAATAATATTTGTTTGAAAATCTCAAATAGACACAGGGCTTTGATTTTGAATCAAGCTTATTTTGTACATATGGTTTTAACCACATATAACATAGACAATCAAAATTTTTGACATTGTCATAATTTGGTGATTCTTGAAATAAAAGCTCGTATAGACATCTGTTTAAATTTGGGGTTGTCATTCTTTTTATGAAAAAAACAGCTTGATGGCATGCAGAACTCCAAAAGGTGGCTGGTAAAGACGCTTGATGCATTAGAGTATTTGCAGTCTCGACAACATGGTGATGTCGTCTTTCAACTATAACAACTCTTTGTGGTGTATAAGGTGGGGAAATTAAGTGTTCAATGCCCTAAGATTTTAAATAAGAAGTTAAACTCAAAAATTCACCTCCTCCCTCAGTATAAAAAGATATTATTTTTGTTCGAAACCAACGTTCAAGCAATGGATGTAGTGTTTTGAAATCATCTAAAACTTTGTGTTTGGACTGAATCATGTGGAGCCACATGTATTTTGAAAACTGATCAACAAACAAAATATGATATCTTTTTCTATCGGCGGAAAAATCTGGTGACGGGCCCCACAATCACTGTAAATAATTTAGAAAGACATGTAACTTTGTAAAGAATTTGTAGAAAAAAATTGTCTGTGACTTTGATTTGATTGACATGAATTACAAATGGAAAGAGAGTCTTTCTTAACATGAATGAAAAATTTATTTACAAACAAATCTAAAGTACAACATGTTGGATGCCCCAAACGCCGATGCCATAGATCTAAAGACAGCTACATTGCATTGAAGTTGATAAGAAGAAGAAGAAAAAGATTTTTCTAACGGCCACTCATAAAGGCGTCCTCTACTCCGACCTTGAACTAACGGTGCCCCCGTACTCACCTCCTTCACTAGATAACAAAATGAAAAGAATTCAATAGATGTTTTATTGTCACGACAAAATTGAGAAACTGAAATCAAGTTACTGGAAATGAAAGGGGAGCAAAGTATATTGGATAATTGAAAGCTAGAATCGGATGGGGATAAATCAGTGTTACCGGTGTGAGAAATTCGTATGGTATTATCATTTCCAATAGCGATTTCTTCCAGATCATTGTAGTCAACAACGTTGTTGAGACTGTGGGCATCTAATGCAACATGATGTGTATCCCATGAATCGACAATCCATGGGGAAAACTGCTGCATATGTTGTCCAACAAAGTTGGCCTGTGCCTAAAAATGGTTATGAGTCTGACATCGATAAACGCGAGCAAATGTCCAAGTTGGTTACATAACTGACACACTAAGTTGACTTCTTGCAAATTGGTGCGATGATTGGACCCTGATGAGAACGTTGCTGGTAGTTGTTTGAACGCCTATTAGTGTTGGTGGCTCTAGTCCACATTTGAGAGCTCGACTTTTGAAAAACAACAACAGTAATTATAGTGGATTGAGGCGGATCATTGTGTTTGAGGAAAAGCTTATGATTGCTAAGCTTTTCAAACAGTTTAGCATATGAAATTGGGGTGTCACGTGCTCGAATCACTGCAGAGATTTCGTGATATTCTGGTCCAAGACCAGTGAGAATCTTGACAATGTGTTCGACATTGGTGACATGAGCTCATGCAGTCACAAGTTATGTGATCGAACTTGGTTGAGATAGTCTGTTACAAGGAGACTCTCTTTCCTGAGATGATCGAGGCAATCTCGCAAGCTGAATATGCAGGTTTGTGACTTATTTGCATATGTCATATGGAGGGAACCCCAGACTGCTTTGGCTGTGGTTGCAGCGGCTACAATGGCAGAAAGAGTGGGATCTACTGATGCTAAAATTGCGTTTTGGATTAACTGGTCGTGACAAAACCAATTAACATAATCGGGGTTGGCAAATGTGAGGTTGTTGTTGTTGGTGGTCTCAACAGAAGCAGAGATAGTCCCATTTAGATGGCCATAAAGATTGTGTCCTCTCATGAGCACAGACACTTGGGCCTTCCACAGTGAGAAGTTATGGTTGCCAACAAGTCTAATCGGAAGTTGGGTAACCGAGTTGAATTGAACAAAGGTGGTAGTGTTAGTTGCATCAGAATTGGAACTGAGGGTGCCATTGGTGGTGAGTGGGTAATAAGAAACTTAGAACTCTGTGAGGAGAAGAAAAGTTCTTGATACCATATAAAAGTTTGAGATATAGAAGAAAAATATATTTTTATTCACGTACAACCTTCACTTTAAACAGAGTCAGTTATTGAAGTCCTAAATAGTAAAGATGACTAACTACGTATTTCATCATATGACTGAAATATAGAAAACTAATAACAGATTCCTAAACAAAAGGGTAACATCTATTATTTGTTGATACAGGTCACCTAACAAAATGAATCTTTTATATATATTAATTTTAAGTAGAAAAGAAAAGGCAGTAACCACATTTTGTTATCAACGAATTGACATGTCATATTTGGTAGAGGCCTATGCCAAAGAAAATAAATAAATATTGACATGTGATAATGAGATTATTAGGAGACACTAATTTTCAGAAACAAGAGAATTACAAATTATCTACCTTACAAATTAAAGCAACACAAATACTATAGCAAGTGAAATAAGTTTTTCCCTAACTTTGACTCCTAATCTTGACTTTCAACTTTGTCATGTAAATACATGATAAACGAAGTAAATATGTTCCACAAGTCGTAAAGCCCCTATACCCAACATTCACAAAATTACCACTTCTCTACTTGAAATCAATCTTTCCTTTGCCTAGTTAACTCTTTGGATGCATTCCTTAAAATGTTCCTTAATAATTCCTCAGTTCCACACTGGAGCTATGCTTCCTCTTTAGAGCTCAAAAAGGAGGAAAAAGAAAAGTCTTGCAATCATGGACAATAAATGCGTGGTTAACTTCAGTATCTATCCATGATCTTGTGTGCACACAAGAATTTAGCGTCCGGATGTCTACAAATTATCTGCTTTGACAATCATCATGCCCCTGATAATTTCTGCTCAAACCCTGCAATAAAATCTTCCATGCATGACCTGTATGTTTGCATTCCTGGGACTTTATTGGCCAGCTCCAAACCCATTGACATCCACCTTTTTGCTTCATCCATATGCCCCATCCTCACAGGGACAGCTGCTCTATTCCATGCTGTCATGGAGAGCCATTTTGCTTCTTCAACCGGATATTCTCCTTCTTTCAAACCCACCATTATTCGATACGCTTGCTTGTAAGTTTCCATTGTTGCATCATCATTAGTATCAATTCCATGGATGCTTCTTAGACTAACAAGTTTCCTCACTATGAGTGCCACACTTGCATAATCAGGTGAAGGCAAAGCCAGGAGTGTGGAGAGGCAGGTACTTAATGCAAAGATGGCTACTTCATGGTTCGAGCTTGGTCCTTGTGAGGCATCAATGGCAATCTGAAGTAGATGCTTTGGGTTGCAACATTTTGAGTTTGCAAAGCGCTTTATAAGGAGGAGCTGTTGGCTTCCCGTGTCATCAAGCCTTGAATGTAGATCAAAAGCACACCAAGTGTACACAAACAAGAAATTAGGCTCAATGATGGCCTCTAATTTGTCATATTCTGTTGAGCTTGACATTAACATCTGCATCAAGCATCACATTACAATTAAAATCATAGTCTAGAGAAAACCACGTCTCAGAGATCATAAACATAAGAGCTCCATTATGTGGCGGCTGAGAAATCTCCAATATATAAGAACTAAAATAACAAACAACGAAGCAAGTGCAAGCAAATAAATGGAAAAAGAACTATCCTATAATTGAAATTGGCTACCTTTCCTGCTCTGTCTAGCAAAGAAATAGCTTCCTTCACTTCATTTTCCAATAACGTATTAGTTTTTAGCTTCTCATCTGAGATTATTGCAGATACTGTCATAATCAGTGATTTGCAAACCATTACATGGTTGCCTTCTTTCTCTTCATCATTTGAAGCACCATAAAACTCTGATGCCAATCTAAAGAACTCTGCACAAATTGCATATTGGTTCTCCTGTCCTGTTTTAACCCCCGAATTCCATGCATTCACTGAAAACCAATTTCTTTCTCTTCTTCCGATCTCACCTTTCCCAAAAAAATTCCCAGCACTCATCTCTCGTAGCCGAGAATGAGCTCGTTTCATCTGCTTTAGGATATCAGAATCATTCTGAGGATCCTGAGCTAAAATCGTGACTAAAGTCCTGAAAACTACAACCTCAGTTGTTGGCATCTGTTTCCCTGTGGAGTAGAAATTCAAGAGAAGTGACAGAGAAGAAACAGCAACTGGTAGACAATGGCAAGCAATAGCTTCATGAGCTGCTAGAGAGAGGAATTCAGTGGTGAAGTCAAGACAACTTGGCAATGCCTGCACCTGAGTGATAGCACCATCGCATTCATTCTTTTGCAGGTAGATCTTAAACTGCAACATCCATACATATCTCAGATTCACATAACCATACAATTAGGAGCATCAATTAAATACACAGATTTCAGATAGGGGAGAAAATCCACACCTTTAGGAAGGCACTAGCTATATTTGGTTCAAGCTGTGAAAGAAGAAAAACTATCAGATCAAGTTGATGAAAGCAAATGTGCTTAATCTATTGAACACACCTTCTCTGCCTCGTTTATGTATTCTTGAGCACGATCAAGCTGTGAAAGGCCCATATAGCAGAGACATAAAACTCTAAACCCCTTTGCTCTGAGATTTCTGCTCTCTATGTTAGAAGGGACATAAAGCATAGATTTTTCAAATATATCAGCACTGGTTTGGAGATCTTTTGATCGGAAGTGTTCTGCTGCACTGTGGAAGAAGCAATAGTAGATGTCCAATGATTGATCGAAAGCATTGCCCTTTATATATACATTTGCAATGACGTAAAAACCAGAAAGAAGGTTTGCTGAATGCTTTCTTTATTCTTTTCTATATATGTCCATTCTCTGATAACTTTTAAACAGTAATGATAGGCAACCAGAAGCTTGCCATTTTTAATAATCTGTCCCAACTAGTTGAGGTCTACTATATGAATTCTTAATAATCATTCGGCTACATTTTGATAGTAATGCATGAATTAAATTGAGAAAGCAACTTGTTTTTTAATTTGCTTGAATTCGTGATAACTTCTTAGACTATGAAAGAAATATTCAGTTGGAAAGCGAACACGATTGAACATACCAGTTCCAGAGAAGAGCATGCATAGCTGTTCTCTCCTTGGAAGCATCGTCTCCATTCAAGAGCGTCAGAATCCTATCATCGGACACCAGGTCCGATACTACCTTTGCCCTCAACCTTGCCTCTTCACCACCACCAGCAGGATCCCCAATTACCTTATTCACGACCCTAATTGCTGCATCAGCACTTACATGGCACCTTCCAAGAAGTCCTAAAAACACTCCCTTCACAGCTGGTGCACCAGCAGCCCCTACAACTTGAAAGTATGACTCGACAGCTGATACCCAAACACCTTCAGGAATCCCCTTATCCACCACCATTCCTCTTAGCTCCTTCTCCGCTTCCCCGAACCTCCCCAATCCCAGCCATGCTTTCATTGCCAACACACTAAGACTCGGATGCTGATCCTTCTCACCATCTCTCAAGACCTTTACACATTTCAACACGCTCTCAAATTCATCTCTCTGCAAATGTGATGCCCCCAAAAATCTAAGCGTCTTGGATCTCAATTCCTTCAAAGCTAACGTCTCTCCTGTCCTCTTAACAACTGTCAAACCCCTTTCACACAATTCCAGTGCTTCATTCATCAGTTTCAATGCTTCATTCACTCCAGAAACTTCATTTTTCGATAGCATTGCTTTTCCAAACATTAAATACTGATTAGCTAAAGATTTATAGTTGTCCGCAAAAGCGAAGAGCACGTTTTTCGATCGACTCAATAAAGCAATCGCTAAATTTCTATCAGAGACTTCCCAAGCCGTTCGTGATCGAGCAATATTGAGATCTAACAGAAGCTTTTTCTCTTCATATTCTGAAACATTAGTGATGTCAACTTTAGTTAACAGATCGGAAGCTTTCTCGAAGCAATAGTTCGCGAGTTCAAACTTCCGAAGGTCATGCCATATAAGACCGGTTTTATAGAAGAAGGATACGGATTTAAACGCCGGTGACGGGATGCCGGAGACATCAGCAGCGAGGAAGAGGAGGTCGGCCGAAACTTGACGGAGCTTTGCGTGTTCCTCATGGTGTTTTTGAATACCAGCAGCATTGGAATTAGAAAGATCGACACAAGCATTCCAAAGGCGGTAGGATAGTTTCCAGATGTGGAGTTTAAGGGAATTAGGGAAAGGAGAGAGGGAATTGAGTTGAGAGAGGGTACGCCTGAGATAGGTGGAGAAGGAATCCGGCAAGGCAGCAGTCGCAGGTACATGTTTCTCGATATCTTTGATGGATGACTCGATTTGAGAGCATAGTTGATTTCGGAGATCGTCGTGAAGCTCCGGCGAAGAGATATCGTCGATTTTCATCGGGGATTTTGAAATGGCAATTGCTCGCGGTTTGTTTTTTGAGGGAAATGGGTATAAATTGGTCATTTGATACACAAGTCTCGTTGTATTTATCTTTACGTCGGTTCATGTCATCTTGCTTACCCCTTAAACCTTTTTTTTAAAAATAAATATCTTTCAATAAAATGTGTTGATGGTAACAATGGCTTAGATGGTGTTTGGATTATTTTTTTTGTGATACTTGGTAAAGATAAAAGATGCTTTAAGCATCTATTTTAGACTTTAAAATAAGTTAAAAGTTAGGTATTCCCAAATTAATTTTTTTAGCTTTTACCTTTTATGCTATTTTTAAAAAGTAAATTCAAACACCAATTAGTTAGTTTTAGATTTAATAAGGGATCGTTTGGTAAAGTGTATCAGGAAAAATAATGCATGAATTAGCCTTTTGTATTACTAGTACTTTGTTTGGTACTCTTTTCTAATCTATGTATAACTAATGTTTGCATTGATTATACACTCTATTGTGTGTTAAGGTGTGTATTACTAATACCATGAATTTCTAGGTATTAACAATGCAATGATTTTAATGCATGCATTGGTACAATTAAAGACTCAATTGCCCCTCAAAACCTATTTTTACATCTTTTCCACCATATTAGTGGAGGGTATCTTTGTAAATAAAATTGTTTATGCAATGCATGCTATTTTTAATGCATCAAACCAAACAATGCATAAAAATAATCTATGTATAATTAATGCAAACATAACTAATACATGCATTACTAAAACAAGTATTACTAATGCAAGCATTGCTAATACAGTCTATTCAACATTATTCTTATACACTCTACCTAAGTGTGAACAAGGCATGTGAGGTGGCAAGTACAAAGCTGAGGGCTATTATCCCAATAGAAACGTTAACACCTTGTTTGGATGGTTGTTACCTTTTGTATTGTATTATATTGATAGTTTAAATACAATATTTGTTTTGATTGTTACTTAATTTTTATTGTATCGTATCGTTTCGTTTAAATATATTGTTAGGTAAAGACAAAAAGACCAATGTTATGTAACGACCTATTTGATGTGACTGCTTCATTACCTTACTGTTTTATTCTCATTGTGTCTTTATTTATTATTTAATAATCATATTTCATCTTTTATCCTACCTTTTCATAGTAGCTCTACCTCGTACCCTACTTTTGTTGTAGGTTTATGATTCAAATTATGGATGTGTCACAATATGTAACGACGGTGAACGATACAATCTATCCAAACACTGTATTCACTAAAATAATATAGTATGTTACAATACAATACAATACAATACAATACAATATGATATGATACAATACAATACATTATGAAACAATACATAACAACTATCCAAACAAAGTGTAGCACTCCGAGCCTACACCTTAGCGTGGTTGGCACTCAGAACAACTGTTGGTCCCAAGTGAATCTTTGGCCTGACTTACTAGTATATTGAATGGTATAAAAATCATGTAGAAGCTTTTAGAATATGAGTCTGTAATAATTTTAGAAAACAAACTGAACAACTTTATAGATAAAAATTCTGAATAATAAATATATTCGTAAAACAACCGAACTATGACTCAACTAACTCGTCTATAAAACTTCTAACATAGTGGAGATAGGTTACATAGACAAGACCCTAGGCTACCTGAATACTTGTAACGACCCCTTCTGGTCGTTAGGAGTAGATCAATGGTGAAAGATTTGAGACAGAAAACTTAACTTGAAAATCTTAGGCTAGGCCAGTCTTAGATGAAATTTGAGTGAGGTGAGGGCTAGAAAAATCCGGGAAGGTATTGGGGATAATGTCTAAGATTGAGTTGAATTTTCTATTAGCTAAGACATTAAGGAAATCATAGGTCTTTTCGGAAGTAAATTTGAGTGAGTAGAACTAATGATATCGATCTTGGCAGGAATGAGTTAGGTTGGAACGTCAAGGTTCGAGGGTGTGTTGCAAAATGAGGACTTTTGGGGAGAATTCTGAGTTTCTATCTCGTGAAGGCCGTTATAGCGGGTGTCACTCCATTATAGCAAGGGGAATTAATTCTCTCTAGAGCGGGTGATCCCGCTATAACAGGTTGGGCCTCTATAGCGGGGTTAGTCGGATTTTGTATAGAAAAGTCCTAAAACCATTCATTATTTGACTATTTCATTTTGGGGAACTACAGAGGTGACCTAGGGCATTTTTTGATCTCTTTTCCATTGTTCTCTTCGATAACGGTAAGTTAATTACTCCCCCTACTTGTAATTTGATTCTTAATCCCTAGAATCATGGTGGTCAACCTTAGGGGAGGGTTTTAACTTGAAATTATGGTAGGAAAAAACCCAGGTTGGGCAGAATGCTCATGATATTGGCCAAGGGTCTAGATTTGAGTATAATTCGAGCATTGTTAGTTCATTTGTCATTGATCGTAGTGTTATATTATTATTGTAGACTAAGAACAAGTCAAGGCATTGCAAAACTAGAAAACTCGGATTCTTTAGAGTTTTTAAGGTTTGATTCGAGATACGTGATGATTGTTTGTTTTCTAAACTATGTAACGTGTGCATGTTAACTGTTATATAGTATTACTTGTGCAATGCATGTGAAGAAAACTAAAAGGCTAATGTGAAATGTGTAATACCTTTGATTTTGAAAAGGGAAAAGGTTGCATAAATTGTAGCTGCCGGTTCAGGACTACGAGACCAATTTATGGTTCGTAGAACTTTCTACGGGTTGTAGACCAGTCTCGTAGAAATGGAGCAAAATAGTTCTTGCAAAATCAAGTTTCTAAACTTTTCGATGAGTGAACAGTACGGTTCGTCGAATGATCGATGAGTTGTAGATATGTCTCGTAGAAAGGTCCCAGACTTAGTGAAATTTTAAAGATCAAGTTGATTTCTATAGTTGGGGTCTACAGACCGTAAGAAGTCATGTGGGCCGTAGACAGGTTTTTTCAAAAGTTGTGCAAAAATTTAGGCTTATGAACTTTTTTACGGTTGATCATGATGGTCCGTAGAAAGTCCTACGGGACGTAGGTCCAAAACGTAGAAAGTTTTGATAATTATTTCTTAGGGGCTTTTAGGTCTTTTCCTAAATGTATTAAGCTTATGCGATGTCGTTTTTGCCTCTATCCTATGCCTTATATAGAGCCTTTAAGCCCTAAATCTACCCACCTTAAACCCATTCTCCTATTTCCCCAAAACTCAACCAAATTCATTCTCTCAAATTCTCTCTCAACCTAAGGAAGAAGAACAAGCTAGGGTTTACTCCAAGGTCTTCAATTCACCATTCATTTTGGGCTTTGAGTAGCAAGGTATGTGGGTATTCACTCATGGAGTACATTCCTCCATGGGATCCCCAAGGTTCTCAATTTCTCAATTCAATTGATCAAATTAGGGTTCTTCTTAGTTCTCTATAAGTTCTATTCAATTATGATTCAATGATTGTTTTTCAATCTTTTATGGTTTAATGAAATTACATGATAATGAGTTGAGATCATTAGAACCCACATATGATCCATGATTTTTAGCTATGAATTTGTGAAGAACTCATAAACCTATGAACTATGAATTTTGAAGGATGATGCATGTCTTATGAAAATGATGTTTACGTTGATAGGGTGATTTTAGATGAAGTATTAATGTTGTTGTGAAAGGTTTCCTCACATACAAATATGGTCATGATTGTGAAAAGTATTTCTCACATATGGATTCACATTGGTGAAATATTTTCTCACCTATGCTTGAATTATTATTTAAGGAGGTATTCTATGTTTTAATCTTTAAGATTAGATTTGGTATTGATCATTGTCTTTCTTATGTTATAAGGACATTTGATTTTTATCTATTCCGTTGGGATTTAGACTTAGCACCGAGAGGGGTTTGAGGTGGAGGCTCAAATAGGGTAGTCTCTAGTAGCAACCTCTAGTCCCTAACTACATGCTTCCGTAAGATTGTCTTAAATGACCTAGCTAGTTGATCCACTTTAGCAAAAGATGATGTGTACAAATTCTACCTTGGCAAGTAGAATCCCGTTCTTTCGATATTAGGGATATACCAGATTCCATGACATAGATCGCATGGTCTTATTGTCGGTTAAAACTAATATTCCACAAATGATTATGTTTCCTCAAAGCTTTCTTATGTATCTTATTTCAAATGCCTTTGACCATGTCTTATGATTTACATGTTGTTGCTTCTTTAAGCTTTCAAATGTTCAAATGTTGGTCACGCATTACATATTTAAGCTATCTATGTCATCATGTCTATTTAGGCACATTGCCCCATACTTAGTACATTCCATGTACTAATGCATACTTGTACCTATATTGTTTCATTAATATAGGGTCCGACGATCCTACCTCCCACACTCTTGACTAGTTGATCATTCTATCGAATTTAAGAGTAGGTAAGTCCTCATGTTTTGAAGATCAAGAAATTTTTACTTGTTCTATGTCTTTTTAAGTTTTTGAATGATGTATGTGGTGTATGAGTTACGTCCCAATCAGTCCTTTTTGATGTTTAAATGACTTGTTGAGACCATGTTAGACTTCCGCTTTGTCAAAATCTTTTATGATATAAGATTGCTACTTTTGAAATCTTTATTTCTATTATCTTGTAGGATGTATGCTAAATGACTTATTGTCACGACCCGATTTCTCAGGTCATGATGACACCTACTATAACCCACCAGCAGGTAAGCCAACCCGTAACCCAGAACAACCAGTAATGGGTCTGAGGGTAGAAACTAAACAAGAGTAAGCAAATAACAATATAAACAGGCAAAAGCAAACCAAAACATATATACAAATAAAGATCCCTCCCAGAACCTGGAAGTCACTAGTACAGAGCTACTACAAAATGAGTATAAGTCCCAAAAATGGACAACAGAGATTGGACTGTCTCGAAAGGTAAAAGACAAGTCTATATATACAGATGGAGATTGAAATAGTACAAAACGCCGTGTGCTCACTCCCGTCTTCGGATCAGTCTGCTCCAAGCTCGATCAACGCTGGC